CAAAGAGATTTGTCAGCCGCTGTTGGGTCTACAGGGAGGGCGAGGATCGGGATGAAATTTTAAAGAGCCCTTGAGATGTTCTTTGACATTTCCGTCTCTGAGGTTAGGTGTAATCTTTAGGTGAAGGGAAGCAGTAACACTTTCTAAAATCATACATTTCAGTAATTATATTTTATGTTTTTTTATTATTTTTATTTGCATATTAAATAATGACACACTTCGATATATAGAATGTTATATAAGTGGAGGAAAATATTGAAAGGTATAATCGTAGAAGTTAGGGGTTACGAAAAAGTCTACGTAAACAATGGTTTGATTTTCGCAGAAAAGCAGGTCGGTTAGTAATATGTTCTCTTGAAGAAGAAACAATATTTAAAATCTTTAACTTACTTCGTAATTTCTTCATTGAAAATTATACTTTCAGCTCCCTTTAAAACGTTTCCTGATGCTATAAAATATTTATGTTTCTCAACGTTTGACAGTAGTTCTGTTGATAGGGATAAGATGAATGCTAAAATTTTGTTAACTATTTCATTTTTCATTATTAATCAATATCTGTTAATACACTTTAGAATTATAGGCTAAACAAGATGATGAAGTAGGTTGAAAAATTGTAATAGGGCATGTAGTCCATCCGATTTTGAAGTCTCAAGCTCTTCTATTAAGATTAAAGTCATTAAGATTATATTGAGTGGTCAATCTGCAATGGTTACCTTCACTAATAGGCGTTGAAAAATAGGTCAAAAATTTGTTTTATGAATGTTGCATCCTTTAATCACGTTCAGTAATCTAAAACTAAACTCAGAACATCAGTGATTTGTGCGATGTTCCAGCAATCTACAGAGTGTACGAGGTTACAGGAACCGCACTTATTTCTATTGAATGTATTTAATACTTATATACGTATTTCTACCGTATCCAGAAGAAAACCAATCTACATAAAAATATATTAATAATGTACTTAACAGATAACACATACCTCCTACAGAAATATCCTATATTAAATAGTATTGTTTTCATTGGAAATCATTTTAGAAATTGTCAGGATTAAAAATTTACTATTATTATCACTATCTAAATGTTAGCCTGCATGGAAGATTTTTAAAGAGTAAAAATACACTTAAAAACGACTTAACCTACTTCACTCATTTTGTCAAATTCGTCAGATGCGAAACTGAAACTGAAACTTAATACTTAATTAGACCAATATAGACTGGCACATTATAAATGCAAGGACGACGTCGCAGAAGAAACCCATATACGAATTCTTGAGACTTTGCAATCAAAATTATATTCCAGTGAAAAGTAAAGTCTATATACCGAACTTCATCTTCCAACTGTTCACCTACAGATAACGACCTTTTAACCAATGCATTACAACTTATACAAATTTAAACGTAGACAACATATTAAAAAGAGACATGGCCACATCCCACATGCCTGGAGGCTAAAAATTCGATGGATGAGAGATCTCCTTCATTAAACAACCCAATAAGTAATTGATTTGATTAACCTAAAAATAATTAAATCAATTCAGTTAAGAGATTGTGGTGGGCAATGTTCTTCCTCATGTTTGCTATGTCATTATATGTTGTATTATCAGCTCATATAGTATAACTATATTCAACATATAGTTGACATCCAGGGGACGGGGTAGCCAAGCGAGCTAACGTGCGTGCATAGCACCGTGAATTAACGAACTCGTACAACAGTGAAGACTTTGAAATATACTTTTATTGTGAAATATAAAGTTATATTGACATAATCTTAGTGAACTTCTTACAAACTAGCCTTGTGAGGCCTAAACTAATATTACATAAGTTACATCTAGTGATATTTACAGATGGAATGATGGAATTGAATGGAATGAATTTCTCTAATATTAAGGGCGGTAATTTAGCCCAACTCTGGGGTGGGGATAGGATTATTCGAAGTAGGAGAGGGGGTGATGGGCGTTATCTTGGTTTCTAGGAACCAATTAGGGGTAGGTGCCGGTAGGGATAATGGACAAAGGATATTCAGAAGTAAAGTAATAAAACTTCTCTAAGGGCGGAAGCCTTGACAGTTCAAAAGGAATCCGATGGACAACTGCCTGATATTCGGGGTTGTGACATTGACAGCTTTTAGAATCAGGGCGGATGCACGTCACATAAATATACAGCATGGTCAAGATGCCCACTTCCAAACGGACTTATTCCCACGGACAAGGGTCACAGGATATTATAACTCAGTGGTCAAAGCGAGCGTGCTTAATTGGAACAAGATGTGCTTGTAACCAAGGATATAGCAATATTCAAAGAATTGTATTTACAAAGGCTATTGTCTTTCATCTCGCGCGTTGCCCGGAAACCTGATAATGCGAAGTTTGGAGACAATAAATTTACGAGTACGACACCTGGTAGTACGGAGGTCTTTTAATTCGGTATTAATTCCCCGCCCACACCCCGTATTTCGGGAAAAACACCGTATAGCCTAAAAAGCGAGGTAGCGGAGAACAAAAAAAAGTGTTGTTGACAGGTGGAAATAAATGTTAAAACACAAAAAATAAATATATTATTTTTATAAAAAAAAATTTCATTTACCAGTAAATTGTAAAAGGTGTATAACACTTCACAGAAGAGTTGATGATAAATGAGATATTGTGAAGGTTCGAGTACCCACCTTTTGCTCCAATCAGAACAAGACCCCCAGATAGAGCCCATTTCTCCTATTTCCCGCAGGCGAGGACCCTCCTCCCCCCTCCACAGCCTGCCAGTGACATGCAATCCGGTTGATACTTTAAGTCCGTAGGCGTTCTCGTTATAGCTCTCTATTCACATCAAAGGCGATTGCTTCACAAGTGGCTTCTTCTTGCTTCGGTTCCCTCCCACAATGGTTTGCCAATTCCGTCGTATGATTGTTTACTTTAACGAACTCAGGGTTAAGTTTAATTTAATATTCAATAACTTTGATATGTTCAAAAATATAATCCACCCGGTCCATTGCTTTATCAATCCATTGTAATTAATTGATTATGAAACTGGCACTTTCTTAGTGGTTTGTATAATAAAAGCTCCGGCTGTTATACTGTATTTTTTTAGAGCTTTTTTTATTGAGAAATATTACAATCTGTCTCTTTGGACATTTATAACAGTGTTCAGAAATGACACACTCTACGTCCAATGAATAAAAATAAGTTAAACAGCAAAATAATTTATATACAATAAATAAATATAAAATAACTTAAACTGTAACTAAATTAAAAAAGAAACACAGACTTCCCTATTTACAACATTTACAATCTGGCAGAGAACTGCAAGCCAGGCTTGTTCCTCCAACTATCTAGGGAAAAGCACGAATCAAAGAGATCCATGCGTTACTCTCTCAACCGCCTAACTGCTATTAAAGTCAGTGGAGAATACACTGTAATATAAATGATTTATATTTCTGAAGTTAACTACAATGTGTGATGAAATATGTGTTGCTTTTAATAAATTTTACTCTTCGATATTAAACCTGGTTATACTTAGCTAGATTAAATTCTTTACAAAATAAGTAATAGAAGAAATCACTCCTAACATAAAAAAAGATGTTTCAAAATATCTCCCCGTTCCAATTATATATATTTTATTTTTTCTTAAATAAGATCTGAAGCAATTAAAGTTTTAAACTATCATTTTAATTTAGATTGTGTAAAAAAATAGCATCACATGGTTAAAAACGGTTCTAACTTTTTGAGAAACAGAGCTTCAAACTAACAATTTACTGTAGTATGAATATTTTGTAACTTTGGCCAATATCCTGAAGTTGTAATCTTGATTTTTCATTTGTCAGGGACTTTAGTTGTACTATTACGAATTTCTTTTCTCAAGGGCTGGTTTGTGTTTATCATGTCTTCTACCAACGTTGCGTGTGATCAACATGATATAAATAGGAAGCAAGCAGGTGGGCTAACGCGTGTCCACTGGGTTGCCCGGCAACAGATAACAGAAGTTGTTTAGAAAAATATTACGAGTTCGAATCCCGGTATGCGGTGGGAATTTTAAATAGGCATAATTCCCCCGCTCTCTTCCCCGGACCGCAAAAAAGCCCCTGTAACCAAAAAGGTTAGAAAGGGGAGAAAAAATAAAATAAACTGGCCACATCCAAAAAGGAACCAGTTACCCTGAGAAAAGATCCTCCCAGTCCTTTGTCCTGAAGTGACTGCTCTCTACTTCGACAGTGCCTTCAATGTCTGCAGAAGTGCTTTGATTTGAGTCGGCACCTCATGTTAATATTTATTATTTGCTATGTTTAATACATAGCAGTATTCTTCTCTTGGTCTCGCCTGATCCTAATAGGCTGAAACGCAGAATGAAGATCTCTCTGTAACGAGGCTGATTTTGAACAGCTGTGGTGAACGACTTAACACCTGATTAGAGTACATTAGAACATATCAATGTTCTCTTATCTTTTATGTTGCATTGCGCACTAGTCGCCATTTTACTACATATCCTGGCATCTATTATATATCAAGTTATCCCAACACTCCGTCTATTATATATATATATATATATATATATATATATATATATATATATATATATATATATATATATATATATATTGTAACATATTTTATTAGGGCCTTTATAAATTGTAATTGTTAATAGAACTCATGTTCATGTTTTGTTCTTCTATTTTTTTTTTTTTTTTTTTTTGAACTGTGTGAAAAGGAGCATTTATATGTAATATATTTATAAATTTAATTTATTTCTGGATATTGTATTAATTTTAGTTGTGATTTAATTTAAAATTATGGTATCTCTCTGTCTGACAGTTTGAACCAGACCAATGTGTTATTTTTTGGTTTTACCTTTCTCCTTCTCTATTCTCTCCTAACCTACCTCCTCTCTCCTTTCGTAGGAATAACTTGGTTGGCCCTTGTTTTCCTACAGTCCCCCTTGCATCTTCCAGGTTGTCCCTGGGAGTGTAGGGTTACCTATACGTAGGGGATTGCCTCCTCGGTTGCAGAGCCCTGGATGTGTAGGGGTTGTCCCCCTATCATTCTTGGCGGTCTTACCTTATCCTATCCTCGCAACGTCAGGGGATTGCCTCCTCGGTTGCAGAGCCCTGGATGTGTAGGGGTTGTCCCCCTATCATTCTTGGCGGTCTTACCTTATCCTATCCTCGCAACGTCAGGGGATTGCCTCCTCGGTTGCAGAGCCCTGGATGTGTATGGGTTGTCCCCCTATCATTCTTGACGGTCTTACATTATCCTATCCTCGCAACGTCAGGGGATTGCCTCCTCGGTTGCAGAGCCCTGGATGTGTAGGGGTTGTCCCCCTATCATTCTTGGCGGTCTTACCTTATATACCTTATCCTTCTCATCCTATCTAAGCTTATACACCCCATTCTTACAAACTTAAATAGCTACACGAATACCAGGTTAATTGACTAACAGAAAGATTAAAGGTTAGAAGGACAGATTTCAGATTTTAAAAGACAAACGTCGGCAATAATAGACAGACAGACTGAGAAATAAGAAATAAGAGATAAAAAAAAAAAAATATTACAATATATATATATATATTCAACCTCCTTCAATTCCAATCCTCTATCCATTCCCGCAATAACCGCCATAGGTCATCAGATCAATATACCTATAGGATTATCAGATACTTATCCCTATAGGATTCCACCCCCTCTTCCATCCGTAATTCCAATAACCTACCCACCTTTGAATTCCGCCTATTCAACCACTTCCTACCTATCCAATTCACAAAGTGTAAATAGTTTTTCTGTTAATATGAATATAAATGATTAGTTTGTTGTTTTTAAGCATCTTTTGGATTCTTATCTCATCAATGTTAAGTTGAATTATTTCTATATTTTTTATTTATATTTATGTTTATAGTTATCTTATGTAATATTTATATTATATTGTTATGAAACTCTGAGGTCCTAAAGCCCACAATTGTAATATTTTGTATGATTCTGTAGGTACTTGTCCCAGAATAAATAAAGCATATTATTAGTATTATTATTTCTTTATTTTTCTCACCTCTGTATGTTTGAAGCTGCATGAGGAGGAGAAGTTCAACCACAGATATACTTTTTATTTTCAAATATTTAAGAATTTAGTCATTATTCTGGTTATATTCAAAATTGGTCTCTCAACAAACAAAGGCGACTTAGGTTAGCCAAAGGATACGAAAAGTGGACGGAAAAGGAATGGAAATAAATTTTAAAGAAAGATGAGTCAAAACTTGAAATTTTCGGTTCAAGAAAGAGGAACTATGTTAGAGAAGATTTGGAGTGGAATTTTCTCATCAATGTTTGCAAATAAAAGTAAAACACTGAGGTCGCTAGTAAATACATTGTAGATGTGCTTCTAGATTTGGAGTGTTCTTGTGATTAGACGGAAAACTGGATGCAAAACGGTACCATAGGATCCTTATACACCATATGGGCTTTAGCTTGTTGGGTAAAAGTGTATTTTTTAGCAAGATGGCGATAAAATATGTGTGTACTTTGCCATTTTTGAAACAAAAGTAACATTAAACAGAAAATAAAAATAATGAAATATGGGATGTTTATAAATTTCTGAAATGAAACAGATAATACCCATATTACATTAATTTTTACAGATGACCTCAGGTTCAGAGATTTTATACAAAGGATCATTCATTATATTAAAAATAATAACGCAGTGAAATTTAATCAATAAAGTAGCAATATTCAGCTCGTGAAAATAATTGGTTCCTTGGCTTGTTGTTAGTTGGAAATAATGTTAATTTATATATATATATTACACATAAAATGTATGTAAGGTTAAATGAATTTGTAATTAAGAAGATAAAGAAAAACTTTTAAATTGAAACAATTATCACTTTTATAAAAAATATGTTTGGTGGAAAACGTTTTTCCACAACAGTACTTTGTAATTGAAGAAAACAGTTTTCTAATATTTAAATCACAAGGTGAAGAAGAGTTTTGTATAACCACTTACTATAAAAAGAACATCATTGAATGAGAAAAAAATTAGGATAATGTACCAAAGTTTGGTGCCAACTTCACGAATTAACATCTTCTCAAATTCCAATTAGGCCTGTTGTTAATATTAGTACATACCATTATTAGATACAATAAACGGCTCTATAAGTTTGAGCTGTAACGTCTGATAGCAACAGAAAAAAAAATTAAATATGATTCCAACTTCAAGAATATGCTTATGAGTTTACAAATGTATTGGATCGCATGACCTAGAAATAATTTGTATTGTAATTAATTGAAAAAAAGTATCCGAAATCAAAATATTGTTTTTTGTCAATTAGAAAAGTGATAAGTTCAAATATATTTTCTTTAACTAGTTAAATGTTTATATCAGGTTTGATAAATACAAAACCATGAAAACCTACTTGGATATGTAGCGTGGGTTTTAAGAAGGAATTATGCTATTACATGATAGTTAGCTGAGATTAGGAAAAGTTAAATGCTAATTTAAAAGCCTCTGAATATATAGAACAGTTATCTAGCTAGCTAAATCTGAAATATTGTTTAATATTCGTTATCTGATGAGAGAATACGTGTTTTCTTAATGAAATTACAGTATCTAAAGAATTCTCCCTTTAAGCTCAATGCTACAATAGATGAAAGATAAACTGTATAATTGTGATATAATTTGCAGCTAAAAAAAAGAAATTATAAGAAAAATATACAAGATAAAAAGGTTTAGTTGCATAATTATGTTAGCTATTAGACTTAATAATTTATTTTTTATTATTTCAAAGGTTTTTTTTTCGTTAATATCAGCTATATTTTCTATTCCCCATAATTATGTATGTATTTCTCATTGTAGGATCATTAATAAATAACTACATGAATTATTTATATGATAAGTGAAAGTAAAATGCATAACTTCGTATATTTTACTTTTTATTTAATTTTATCGTCTTCAATTTCATTATTATAACAATTAGATAGAAGAAAGATGTTTTTCATAGTAAAGTGTAAATACCTGACTCGGTATAAATACTAAAAATTTGGCGGTAAGTACAATGGTTATCTCATTAGAGCAAATTAGAAAAATAAAATTAAAATGTCCCACTCCTTTCTATTATAGAACAATTTAATCGTTTATAACTAATAATCCATAAACATTTTTGTAAGAATAAACTTTCGGTCTTCCTCGAATATTTGATGGGTATTTGAAAGCAAATAACAAAAATTTAGTTGTGTCACAACATTACCTAACACACTTGTTCGCAAAAAGAACAAAACAAAAAAAAAACATTCGTCTCAACAGTACAAAATAATTTGCTGCTGTACAAAGTAACTGCTAATTGACAAATCTTTTTTAACTAATAACGAGGAAAAACATTAATTACTGTACCACTATAACAACAATTATTCAAAGAAATAGAACGAAAATAGTTACTTCTGTATTTTAAAAAGGAACGAAGGCGTTAATGTCCCGCGGTGTGTTAGCAATACTGTTAAATACGTTCGGTCAGGCACAGCGTCCCTTTCTTCTTAATAAACTTATCGACGATTCCTTATAGTTTATCGAACATGGTGACTTTCACAACCATACCCATCTCACCTACGTAACGGAACATATCTAATTCTGATTTTTCTTCCACTTACCTTTTTTTTTTTTGGTTCCCCCTTCCTCATATTTAAGGCTACACGGAGTTTTCTCGGGTCGGGGGGTGTGGGCGAGGATTTAAAATACCCCCGGGCGCGATTTAAAATAACGGGGGCGTAAACTAATGGCTATTTTATATCATTTGTCTCATATATCCGGTTGCCGGGGAACGGCGGTGCTGGGCACACACACGATCCCCCACCCACTACTTCCATACACTTAAATATGTAATATATATTAAGGGAAAGTATTGCAATGGCGAACATTTTCGAATTTTAGTTTTTAACGAATTGAGGTTCCCCGAGTCCGAATAGCCAAGTTCCGCAAAACGGTCTGTGTGTATGTGAACAGTCCAGCTCAAAAAAGAAAAGTCGTACGAAACTGATATTACGTATTTAAGATAGGTTGTGTCTTAGATATGACAGCAACTTTTTCCTCAAATTCGGCTTACCGGAAGTGTCACTTTATAACACATTTTTATGATTTTCTCAAAAATGCTACTAACGATTTTGATTAAACTCAGTGTGTCACGGTTTAATTAAGTAGTATTTAGTATCATTTAGGTCTTATCCACACTGATGTCACTTTATTGGACTTAAACGCCCAATGTTCATTTAGGCATTCTTCTAAAGTACCTTTAATATGGTTTATTTGAAGTAATGAACTCTCTTTCATTGACAGTAATTGTAAAAAATGGCTAAATATGAAGTTTGAAAGAATACAATAATTAGAAACTGGAGAATTTTTTTTTTTATCCAGGCTGAAAATGAATATCCGGAAATACCAGTTAGAAAGTATACGTTTAATATATCGTTGGAAAGCGGAGAATTTCAGATTAAATAATATCAATAAAAGAAAATCCTATAAATAAAGTTGTAGAAGGTAACGGAGAATGACGAAAAAAAAATGTATGCATATGTTTATAACCTTAAATACATTTACTGTAGTTTAATAGATCTAGATGTAATATTATATTTAAATAACTAGGTAATTATTGACAATTTATTCCAACAAATCAGCAAGTAACCTTTTAGAAAATTAAATTAGTAAATAATTTGATGATGTTTCCCTTTGTGAAATCCCATCATTACAAACACCACTTACAATTAGTGTGACAACTTTTGAACTATCTATAGCAGGCAATGAAAATTATGTAATTTCATTTTAGTAAACTTTACAATGGAAAATAACAGTTTAATAACTAACAGTTCTACAATTCAGAATCATTTATAGGTAAAATATTTAGATATACTTTCGAATTTCTTTAGACATATGTATATGAACCTTTGGAGTGACAGAATGACTAACTCAAATTTTAATATTCTTTGTTATTAATTTTTGTGATGTTTCTAGTGGCAAAATTTATATCACAGTTTCTTAAAACTTTATTCACAGTTTTATATTTCAAAACTGCTATCACCTACTCTGGAATCAACTTACTCGCTGTCTGTATAGATGTAACTTTTCCAACTAGAAACATCACTAAAATGACATTACTCAAAAATATTAAAATTGGAGTTAGTTATACTGTCAACTGAAAGGCTCAGAGACTGAAGTTGTGTGGTTTATAAAAGCAGATGGAGTAACTAGATTTTTTATTACCTACCGTCGATT